CCCCCCCCCCCCCCAGCTGGTATTTGTGACGCTCTCATCAGAACGTTCCCACCTCAGCTGTCACAACAACATACCAGAGCTGGACGGCCTGAGTATAAACACTGCGCTGTGAATGGCTCACCCTCAGGGTGTCACTCTGCATTCAACCAATCCCCCCCCCCCCGTTCAGTGGCCGTGAGCGAGCCGCCTGCATACTGAACATTTCCTGAACTCCCGGTGCTCCTCCGCTCCGTGTGAATGAGCCGACGCCGCGTTGCGTTATCGCTGCGCGTACAGTCGCTAACAATGAACGCGCTATCAGATCCCGCGTGACCTTTTAGTTTTCAGAAAGGTCAGCGGAGATGCGAGGTATTTGTGTAGGATGCATTTCAAGAGAGGGACTGAACCGGCCTTTAGTGGCAGCCACACTAAGCTTTCTACTGGGCAGCGGGCATTCTTCCTCCATCTATCCCATGAGCCTCTGCTGCTGGGACAAAGTCCTCTTTGTGTGCCCATGGCTCTTGGCGAGAACACACAGCTCTGAAATTGTGTTTGAACGATGGGATTTTCATTTCTCTCCCTCCTTTTCCGTGCCTGCTCTCACCCCTCTTTGCTTTCACTCACCCTCCTCACCCTCCCTCCCACCTTTCTCTTAGCAACTGCTGCAGCGAGACAGTGTCACATTGAACGCTGCTCGTTTTCAGGATTTTCATCGATACATCCGCGACATCAGTTTTGTGATTGTTAGTTTCTCAGGCCTCTCGTGTTTTAGAGGAATCTTTAGTGAACTCGTTTAGTTTTGTTCTTCTCTGGTTCCTAAACGTCTTCCATCCTCCATCACTGCAGGTTGTTTAGACTAATTATTAATTTGTTATTACCTCCAACAGGCAGGTTGTGTTTCGTATTTCCTGCTGTGTTCTCACACTCAGTGGACTTTTTTTACTCAGATCCTTTCAGGAGAAACACATAATGTCCAGAGACTCACTCGGACATTTGCGTTCTCGCAAACAGCAGGAAACCGGAAGTTCTTTATTCCTCAAAATTTTCAGGAAGAGATTTAAAATTTGATTTAAGCTAGGGATTATTTTTTTTATTCTGGGTTGATGATAAAATATTCCGTGTCGCTCCTTTATAAAGACGTTTACGTCTCTCATGCATTAACAGAATGCACATGTGATGAGTGCAGCTTCTCTGAGGCTTTCACCCTCACATTGTTCACATGCACACTGACCACAGCAGGTTTTTAAAGCTTGTTTCAACTGTTTACTGTAATCACCGTAAATCACTGTGGATAGAAGCGTCAGCTGAATGTGTGAAACGCACATGTGCATTATTCCACCACAGCTGTTATTAAACAGGTTGTGGCCACTTCAGCTAGTTGCAGCTTGTGTGTGTGTGTATGTGTGTGTGTGTGTGTGTGTGTGTGTGTGGGTGTGTGTGTGTGCGTACCAGCAGACAGTTGATCCTCCACCTAGTAATCTTACTCCTTCTTGTCTGGCTCGTACCTGCTGCTGCTGTTGTTGTTGTTATTGTGCTGCTGAGAGAAAGATCAAGATTCATCTCATTTACAGTTTGATCACTTGCTGCTGAATGAATGAATGAATGAATGAATGAATGAATGTGTGGTTGTTTGTGAAAATGTCTGAAACTCCAGTTAAAGACTCGACGCAGATCTAATCTGATCCTGCATGAATCAAGTCTCACACTTCATTATAAACACGATCACACTTGTGTTTACAGATTCTTCATATAAGAGCCGGTGTCATTTCCTCCTGTGACGTTTTTCCCCCGGAGCCGTTTTTAGATCCGTTCATTTGTTTGGACAAGATTAGGATTCTGTGTTTTGAGGAATTGAAAATGTAAATGTTCGGTATCTGCAGTCACAGTGTGGTGCGGTGGTATTAGTGATGTAATCTGATGAGGCAGCTTTGTCATTATTACTCACTGTCACACACACACATCTGTTGGAACCTCTATACCTGTGAGGACCCTTACTGACACGAAGCAGTCCTGAACAGTTACTGTAACCAACATATATATATATATATAATATATAATACTGTATATTTATATACTGTATATACTCAAAGTATGAAAAGGTCAGATACAGACTGAAACAACAAATATGGAGGTGCAGGAAAATGAATCTGAATCTACTCTGCAAACATCTGATCTCCCACTGATCTCCATCGTGTAGCATGTAGCGTGTAGCGTGTGCAGAGATGAACATGTTCTGCACGGTAACACTTTGATCCCTGGATCAGAGGAGCCATTGTTTCATGTATGTGAACATGTGCTGATTCACTTCTTCTTCTGTGGTTGTTTGCTGTTTCCCATGAAGCATCTTGTGAGTCCTCGATCAAAGTTCAAATATTGTTTCCACTTGTTGCGACGTGGTTTGACGACGGTTTGACGACGCCGACCTTTCGCAGAGTGTTTGAAAAGCACTGAAAGGTATTATTCACATATCGAACCCATTGAGATTCGCTCTGGCTGCTTTGTGCCGCTCTCGAACTATTTAAATGAGAAGACAAGGGGAAGGAGAGCCAAGCCTCGGCTGAAGAATGGACCAGTTTGTGAACCATTTCCTAATTGTTAATGAGGGGCTCCAGGGCACTTTGCCAAGGCTGCAGGGCCAATGGCGAAGGCCTGTTTGTACAGCGGAGGGGGGGGGGTGTACAGAGAGGGGGCTAGCTGTGGGGACACTGTCACTGAGGGGACCCCCAGACCCCATCGGCCCCCCCCCACCTGGTTTACACAGAGCTGGAGCTGCTGAGAGCGGCCGTCACTTCCACCAACACTTTGATGAGGGTCGGGCCGCTGCTGCTGGACTCTGGTCACTTTCTGACTGCGATCTGAGGAGACCCCCCCACCCCACCCCCCCCGCTTCAGTTGATTTGAACAGGCAGGTCTTCAGAGATGTCCAACAACAACAACAACCAGGAGGAGAAGGAGGAGAAGGAGGAGGACACGGAGGAGAAGGGAGAGGAGGTCATGGTGAAAATCCCACCACCTCCACCTCCTCCAGAGATCAACGGGAAGGGTCCGGCCGAGGACGCCAAGCCGGCGCCCAAACCTCTGCCCAACGGGCACCAATGCCAGGTTATGAACCGCAGCATTTTTCCTCTCTCCGCAGTCTCACCAGCGGCCGAGAGGATCCGCTTCATCCTCGGGGAGGAGGACGATGGACCGGCTCCCCCGCAGCTCTTCACCGAGCTGGACGAGCTGCTGTCAGTGGACGGACAGGAGATGGAGTGGAAGGAGACGGCCAGGTAAGAAGCTCAGAATCAGACTTCACAGCCGATTATCAACCTGGTCTCAATAATGAAAATGTCTCAAAAGTCTTTATGGTTTAACTCAGTCCTCCTGTGGCCCGGCCACGTCATATCGTGGTTCATTGAATGATTTGCAGAGGAACTAAAGTCTGTTTATGAATCTGAAGTAGTTCAAGAGCTCGATTGGTTGGATTGAGTTTTAAACACTTGATATTATATCAGTGTGAAGCCAAAGGTCAAAGGTCAAAGGTCACGGTGGCCTCACAAAGTAGTTTTAAGTTTTTATTAAACGTGACGTCTTCAGATCAGTTTGAGGGAAAAACTTTGAGTTTGACTCAGAAATCAACTGAGTAGATTTTAGTGCCTGGAGGTCAAAGGTCAAGGAAAGACGCTTCACTTATCATCCATTCATGTCTTCAGTTCATCAGCCATTCGTCCATCTATACGTCCATCCATAGACACGTCGTCATTTTCTCAGTATATAATATCCAACAAACACAAAACATGTGAACTAACTTATATAAAAAGACACAAAAAGTTGAAAACTCAGAACAGTGTCGGTGATGACATTTTGGGGAATAAAGAAAAAGTTTTTTTTTTTTTCACGAGGGCAAATTATTCTGCAGTCAAGTGTAAAAACTTAAAAAATATCTGTTCACGACCGAAGTACAAGAATAAAACTGAACAAGTGAGAAATCAATACAAGAAGGTTAAAAATGAAAAGTTAAAATAAATTAATCCGATTTGAATCAGCGATGTCGAAGTTATTATTCTGTGAATAGATTGAGATGTGGTGCGACGTCTCACGAGTTCACTCAGCGACTCACAGAGAATAAAAGATCTCACAAGTGCCGGCTGGAGCTGGACGGACGCCAAGTGCAACGCTGTCCGCCAAACTGAGGCCGAATAAAACCCCAGAAACAACTGCTCAGCACCCGAGTGTTCACTTTCTCATCCTCTGACCGAGGAGACGGGGGGGGGGGGGATTTAACAAAGTGAAGTAAATAAACCAGATGGAACAAAATAAACAAAATAATGACTTTGAGGACGCAGCCTCACGTCCTCTAAGGTCACCTCGTGTTGGCTGGTTTCATTTCTTGCTCTCAGTTGACTCCGGTGTTTTTTTGGCTTCGTCCCTGCAGGTGGATCAAGTTTGAGGAGAAGGTGGAGAAAGGTGGAGAGCGGTGGAGTAAACCTCACGTGGCCACGCTGTCCTTACACAGTCTGTTTGAACTGAGAACGTGCATCGAGAAAGGCACCATCATGCTGGACATGGAAGCTTCCACTCTGCCTCAGGTTGTTGGTGAGTCAACAAGACGAGCAGGTTCTGATCTGTTTTCATCGGATCACGTGTTTTCAGAGATGCAGACCCAGATTCTGTGCTTGTGTTGGTAAAGTGCACAAAGTTTTTTAATAACAGACCAAAGACCAGGATTTGACATTACACCTTCAAACTTTGAGAATGTTTAGAAAAAAGTTTTTAAAAGTCCAGAATTAGACGTTGCGTGATAACTTCTGCTCTCAAACTAGAACAACAGGATATTAAACCCATAGAGGTCGTCAGTTTTTTTTGTTCCTGTCCCACAAAGACATCGATGAAGGTCAGCGTCCTGTCTGCCACTAAGTGAAGCTGCTCTGCAGGTTTACGGATCAATGCACATCACACACAAGACTTCCCTCCTTCCGCTCTGGTGTCAACGAGAAGACGAAGCTCACAGCTCAGGTCCTGTCCTCCACTTTAAACAGAACTTAATACAAAACTTCTCCTCAGAGGATTTGAGATGCTTGTGCCGCTCTGTCCTCTCGTCTCACTCCACCACCCCAACATTGTATCTGCATGAGGGAGCAGGAGGGAGAGTCACTCACTCGGTGATTAATGTGGAGTAATTGAGTGTGCTGCATGGGGCCGTGCAGGCCGAGCCGGGCCTCTTGCTTTGGGGCCAGTCAAGTTGAGTGATGGGCCATTAACGGCACCGCTCCTCCACAAGAGGAGAAACTCCCCGAGGCTGAGATCCGTCAGCACTCAGGCTTCTGACCTTCTTTTTAAAAAGGGGAGAAACCTTTTGATTGAGTCGTTTCATGAAGTCACGAAGACTCCGGAGCAGCACGGGGAGGGAAAGAATTAAAGACGAGGAGACCGAGTTGTTGGATGAAATACTCAAAATAAAAGATATTTAAAAAACTAATCGGTAGATTTGCGTTCTCGCTGATGCCCGACTCGACATTTAAAGAAGTATCTTAAGGGATTTCTGATGCTGGTGTCGGTTTCTATCTTTCCATATTAAAATTGAAAAAACAAACTGAAAATAAAACTTTCTTGTTGTGAGAATGTCTCTCAGATATAACGTTCCTCCTCCTTGTCTCTCCTCGCTCCTCAGAGCTGATCACCGACAACCAGATCGAGATCGGGCAGCTGAAGGCCGAGCTGAAGGACAAAGTCATGTACACGTTGCTACGGAAACATCGCCACCAGACCAAGAAGTCCAACCTGCGCTCGCTGGCTGACATCGGAAAGACGGTCTCCAGTGCAAGTAGGCTGTTTTCCAACCCGGAGAACGGTAATACTGATGCCAGTCTGGTGCAGTCTCTCTCTTTTTTTATTTTATTTTATTAAGACAAAAACACAACAACCATTTATTTCTCTTTATTCTAAATAAAGTGTAGTTTGCGGGACACGCTGCTGCAGCTCCTCTGCACCAATGACGATGTGAACTAACGAGTCATAAATAAATAACAAGACTTTCCTCAGAGACCTTTTTTATTAGAGACCTTATCAGGAATCTGGGTCTTTTAACACTTTTAAAACTTTATAAAAACCTTTCTGTCACTAAACCTCATCCCACCAGTGAAACTAAAGCTTCTGTGTTTTGTTAAATCAAAACATAGATTTGCAGTCACCCGCTCTAACAACGTATTAACGCTGTGTGTGACGGTGTTATTCTACTAACTGGAGCTCAGTGTTTACGACGCTGACGAGGAGAGAAGTCCAAGGCCGAAGGAAATCATAAAACCACCTCAAGTGGTTTTATACGACTGACGGAGAGAGTTCTGTCTTTTACAGCCGTCAAGGATGAATTTGGTTTTTAGATTTATTCATATGATCTCATCACATTCACTTTTCATTTTCTGGACATTTATAATAAATCGTATTTAATGGAGAACTACAGTGCGACGGAGTATTAGTGTCGTATTAAAGAAAAACTAATTCTGAGGTTACAAGAATAAAGTCGTAATTTAATGAGAAATATTATATATATATATATTCTCCCTCTGAAATGAAAATTATAACTTCATTCTTGCAATATTGAAACTTTTTCTCTTGAACTACGACTTTAGTCTTGTAAAGTTACGACTTTCAACTTTATTCTTGTGATATTAAAATGATGTAATATTACTTTAAAACCCTCCTTTAAGTGGCTCTGATACTCTGTCATAGAAGAATATTGTGGCTCTGATTAATCTCACAGGACGATGATTCGTCAATGATTCAAACTTGAAAGTAAAATAATCCAAATGGATGAAATTGACTTAATTTGTCATTTTAGTATAATTACAAATAATAATAATAATTTTTAAATATGTAAATTAATGCTATAAAACTGAAACGAATTCTGTTCTGAATCTTTGTGAATGAAAGAGAAATGAACAAATGAATATTTTCAATTAAACACACACACACACACACGTCACACTGATGTCTATCAGACTTTAACATGTGTGTCAGTGATTGTTATTAATCTGTTTGTGGCCGTGGGACTTTGGAAAGTTATTTATCAGCTGGTTTATGAATCTGGTTTATGATTTTATCAAACTGTTCCTGTGATTCTGTTTGTCGCAGTTTGGAAAAAAGTCATAAAAGCCGGAGCCTCTTATCCAGATCACAGTGTTGAGATAAAGAGCTTCGCTGATAATCCTTAATTGAACTGAGGATAAAGTGCGTCCACAGTGAAGTTGAATTCGACCCAAGTTCTTCTGTCCAACGACCCACGGCCTCGTTAATTAATGACACTTCTTGTTTCTCTGCATTAATCACGTTTTAACGACCTCTTGATTTCTTTCTAACCTCGTGCTTCGCTCCGGGGCCTCGGCCGTTAACCCTCCGGTGGTTTCTCCTCTTCTGCCTTTTTCTTCTGCTTCCCTGGACTCTTGTGAAAACCTGCTGCTGCTAATCAAAGCTCGTAGTCCTCTTGAGAACTCTCTCACCTGCCTGTCGGGTCGCATCTCCATGGAGGACTTGCAGTCCCAGAGGAGTAGCAGCATGGACTGGCTTAGTAAGTTCACTGGACCCAGACTACGTTCACACTGCAGAACCAGTTCAGAACCGGTTCAGAACCAGGACCTGCTCCTGTTTCAGGATCAGACACGATCAGCAGAGTCTGTAAAGACAAATGAGACGTCTTTAAAAGTGTAAAATGTCTCACTGGTTAAATAAGACTCGCTCACACTGGACTCACGTATGCGTCACGTTAATGTTTGACGGTTGTGACTCTTGGTGCGATCGTCATGACGACAACAATCACAGCTTCATGCCACGTTAGGTATCAACGCAAGACCAAAGACGAGACAGGACACTGGAGGGACAGCTCAAACCAACAGTCTCCATATCAACACACGGTCAAATACACTGGATCTGATTCACGTGCTTCAAATTTCAAATAAACATCACACAAAGTCGATATCCAAGAATTATTGAAATTATAAAATTGTTGAAAAACGTCTTATGTCAAAGAAAGTGAATAAAAATCAGTGGATCCGCATAAAAATTTGAAAAATGAAAACTTCCTCCTTGACTGAAAAATATAAATATCTTGATCGTAGAATCTCGACATCGTACTTTGCAGCACAGAGTGGATGAGCCTCAGCTTTAGATTCGGCAGCGGTTGAAGCTTTCTGTCGGTACTCTGCGTTCATTTTGTCCGTATTCATTCAAGCGTATGGATACGGACAAAACTGTTGAAATGAAGCAGTACCACCACAAATCCTGGAGGGGGCAGTAGTTCAAGCGAGACGACCGTAGAACACGAGGGAGAAACTTCAACTTGTCGCGATGTGTTTACTGACCTCACAGACAAACTGACGCTTCCAACACAGACGCTTCTCGCCTCTTTCTTCAGAGACATTATTGTTGTTGTTGTCAGAAACCTTTGACTCTGTGCTGCCCTCTAGTGGACGTACTGCTTAACAGCATAAACAAGTCACTGAAGTTAACGAGCAGACGCGTCTCTGTTCGTACGTAACAGCTGAATTAACGAGCTGCAGGTGTTTGAGTCCCGTCGTATCTGATCCACATCTAAAACAGATTTCAGCTGCAGTGTGAACGTAGTCATGACCGAAGTATTAACTTCTCCTGTCCTTTAGCCTCCGTGTGTATTAGTACAGAGGATTTTATGCAGTAGTTCCATATTAATAGTATTCACAGTCGTGTCCCATTTAACTTTGGCTCTTTATTTTTAAAGACAACTTTATTTTAAGGATTATTTTCTGGCTTTATTAAGATAATTTCCTCAGTTTTATATATTTTTTTTTTGACTGGCTGCATCATACTGACAAGCATGCTATTACCCACAATGCTCTGGGGGCAGATGTATGAAAAGGCTACAGTGGCTTCAGAATTTGCACTCGTGGACGTTTGTCCTCCTCTGGACGCCGTCTCGTACGTCTGACAGCTGCTGCACTGAACCGACATCACGTTCTGCCGTCACTTTGACAGAAGAGCAAACGTCAGCAGAGCGTCCGTCGGTCTGCTGCTCACCTGCGGAGACGAGCCGAGCACTTAGTGAAGACTGACGTGGAAGACGGACGCTCTACTTTAAGAGGACGGACGGACACACATGATAAAACATGTGTTGGAGGAACGGACACCTCGTAGTGACCGTCCGAACTGTGAAACCTGAAACATGAAAATATTAAATATAATTTATTAACCAACATATTTTTGCATCGTTGAAAACGATAAATGAAAACTGAAAATACTTTATCCTCATAAATATAAATAGAGAATAAGCTGGAACGTGTCAGTTTGAGACGTGTTGTAGCTCGAGGAGACGCTCCCACTCTTCACAGAAGGTTCAGATTCAGTGTGAGCTTCATCCTAAACATGCATGAATGTCACGGCTGTCTTGGTTTTTCCTTTTCCGCGCTGCATGGTTGTGGGGGGGGGGGGTGGTTTGCAAAGCGTCTGGGCCACTGTCTTTCCTCGGGTCTCTGCCGTCCTCACGGTTTGGTCCAGGTGAAGGCGACGCTCGTCTAACCGCTCAGATTGGCTGTGTTTCTTACAGACAGTCCCACCACGACGCACCGGAACCTGGCGTCCAGCAGCCTGAACGACATCTCCGACAAACCGGAGAAAGATCAGGTGAGTCCGAGGATTTGAGAATAGAAACGTGTCAGTGTCGTGAGTTTCTGAAGTCACAACTTACTTTCCGCCCAAAATCTCAAATCTCTAAATGAAGAAATTTCCCTTCATCGCTTCAACTATAAACTCAGGTCGTCACAGACGTGAAGTTTGTTTTTGTTTGTTGTGACATTAAATGAAAAGTTGTCCATTGGTCCATTGGTCATTTATTGTAAACGAAATCTGTCCCAATGTCTTAAATTAGAATCCCAGACGACCTTTGTGATGAGAAGGTGTCCGCCTGAAACAGCTCCGTCCTCTGCAGAGGAGCCAGAACTGTTAAAATTAAACCAGTGATTCCAGTTAAAGTCCAGAGGTCATGTTATTTAGATGAAGTGATTAAACGTCTGTTGAGGACAAGTGTCTCTGACTTAATGAACAGAGGAGAAGAAATCAAAGATTGAGTGACAGTGGAGACAAATTGTCCCTCACACTCACAGCACATCTCAGTTTCTTCCTCTCTCAGCTTTTATCAATGAATTTCCATCTTTTATGAGAAGTCTTCTCTCCGCTCTGATCTTTTCATGACATCGCATCTTGTCCGACTCAAAGTCGAGTGGGCGAAGAATACAAGCGTCAGCCGTCCCTCTGTCCCACTGATGCAGGAGCTGAACCCGTAGCTTTTCATTTCCATGTCATGAGGTCGGAGGTCGGAGACACTGGGTGAGCCGCTGCTCGTCTTTCCTCTGCTCGTCTCACGTGCACACAGACAGACGGTGGAAATCATCTTTAGCCTGATCGTGACGTCAGGAGGTTTAATCAGCAGCGAAACAAATGAATTATTAGTTCACAGCTGCTGAAGTTGATGGAATGGACGTCTCCCTGCGTCCGTGTTGTCCTCTTGCACTCTGAACTCTGTTTGTGACAGAGGAGAGATTCGTGCACAGCAGAGATCTGGTCGTATGGTCTCAGAGAAGAGAATTAGGTCAAACCAACCCACGGAGTCGTCCTGAGGGACAGACAGCGTAGGACAGAGACAACTGAACAGGAAGCGTTTGTCCTCAGTGTTTCCACACCCACTCAGTCTGTTAATATCATTCACAAGTTTCCTCTGAGGGCCGACGTGCACTAAACGCTTGTTTCTCCCGCTCGTCGCTGCCTCTGGACTCGAGGACACGGACGGATCCCCGGGGGGGGTTTTAAAACTCACTATTTGATCCAGTCGATCAAACGTCTCCCTGCAGATCAAGAGTCTGGTCGAATAAATGAGTAACAGCAGGATGGAGGTGACGGTGGGTGAGTGTGTCGGATCAGCGGTGATCGGACACAGATCAGGGTTGTTCAGTTACTCTGGTTTAACCCGACGATCATTTACAGAACAACTCTTTGCCAGGAAGGTTTAACGGCCTCTGATTGGATCTGGCTGGATGTCACCGGTGGTCACGTCTGTGTAGGATTTCAGTCCTCAGAGGCTGACGCACATGATCTGGGTGGAATGCAAGGACACGGTGTTGATGATCATGTCCACACATCACTGGGCTTCTGTGGGATTTGTGTTTTCATCCCCCCCCCACAGAAAATAGATCCCTGATCTATTTGAAAAAAGTTCAGTTGTCTTTATATCTTATTTTAGACTCTATGAATTCAATCCAAAGTGACAGACCCGCTCTGAGACTTTATATTCTGGGTGTGTGAGTGGGTGTGTGTTCTAATCCAATTAAAACCCTGGCACAGCTTTTAAAGACACATTGAACACTATCTGCTGCTGGTTTGGTTTTTTAAAAACTTAGAAAACTTTATGTCTTTATACTGTCGCAGTTTCCTCAACTGCTGAAACTCAAGTTATAGTTAAATGACGATCTATTGTTTCTTACATCTCTCTTGGTTTAAGATTTAAGGAACCTTCCTGCTGAGATCTGAGTGTTCCATGTTTAAGTGTCTCCATCAGTAGATGCTCTTCTGGAATGTTTGTGTGTGTGATGTTTTATTTCATCGGTTTAATACTGAGCCAGAAATCCAGTGTTCTTGTTGAAGCGGCTGCAGAAACTCAGATTGAGTGGAAGCTGAAGCATTTCAACAGAAGTTATAGGATCTCTCCTTCGATTTTATCTAAACGCAGTAAAGTAGATAGAATTATTTTGCATTTGATCGTCTGTCGGTCTTCTCATGAATTTGATCTGTTCTCTAACTGCAGATGTTTTGAAACTGATTTGTTCCTTTTGTATAAATACATTGAAATAAGATCAGCATTCATTTACTGACGCCAGAAACTGAGGAGCAAAGTTAGTTTTCACTCAAATATTTTATTTACGTCTTCAGAACAAGACAAAGTGAACGCTGTCGTCTTTTAGTCGTGAAGAATTTTGTGTATTAATTAATTAAATGTATGAGAATGTTTTAGAAGAATTCACAGTGACGGTGTTCGTCTCTGTCTCTTGGTAAATGTTTCTCGGCTGTTCTCAAAGTTAATCGATAACTCGTAATCTTATCTACGTCTTTACAACTCTTTGTCTTTGAAGTTGTCTTTATTAATGATCTGCTGCTGTCGTCGTGTTTTTAATCAGGTGGAAAAATCTAATGAGGACGAAAGGTTGTCGGATTGAAAGTGTCAGACGATGTGTGACGACACAGAAAAGTGAATTTAGTCGATCATCTCAAACGTGTGTGAACGGACATTAGAATCATTTCGGGTTTTCATGTCCCTGGATCAGAGACAGTCATCGGCCGGAGACATGTTGTTTTGTGTTCTGTTGTGTGTTGTCCGCTGGATTTCATATTTACACTGAGCTCATCAACTGCACTTCAACAAAAACTGACAAAGTCAAAGTCACAGCCTGGACTCTGAACCTGCAGAGCTCAGCTGGTGTCCGACCTCCGTCTTCATCTCAGCATCATCCCGACAGGAAGAAATACAGACCTCATGTTTCTGCTCTTTCATTGTCGCGATACGATGGAGCCTCCTGGTTTGGTATTTAAGCGATTGTCCCGTCGTTTAATTTACTGCTGGTGTGAACTTAACATTTAACGTCTCCTCCTGTGTTTCTCTCCTTTGTGCTTCTCAGCTGAGGAACAAGTTTATGAAGAAGTTGCCGAGAGACGCCGAGGCCTCCAACGTGCTGGTGGGGGAGGTGGACTTCCTGGACGCTCCGTTTGTGGCGTTTGTTCGTCTGCAGCAGGCCGTGATGCTGGGAGCCTTAACGGAGGTTCCTGTTCCCACGAGGTGAGATTCATGGATCTGCTAAAAGGGAGCTGACGTTTAATCAGACCCGAACTTCCATGGAGACAGCTGGTGGAGTTTTTATAGGTTTTAGTTTAGCTTTACTTCAGACTCGTGTTTCATTTTACCAAGAGAACTAGATAAAATACACAATATAGAATAGTTGTTACACGAAAAACTTCATGTGACACAAAAAACATCTATCTCCAGAACACCTCGAGGGAATCCTTTCAAATCTGGTACACGTGGTCACTTGGACTTGAAGGTCAAAGGTCAAGGTTGCTGTGACGTCACAAATCCTTTACTGCCTCGTGAACCTGTTTTTTCAAGACTTGGCTGTCAAGGGTCAAAGGTCACGGGGACCTCACTTAACATTTCTGGCCCCTTGAACATTGAATACGTCCCGATAACGTAACGTCGACACCGTCACAGTCGCCAAGTAGAGGAGTTAGCCTGTCTGTTTTTTCCCATGATGCCTAAAGTTCATTGCACGAACTCTCCATCGACTGCGTCTCTCTCACTTCGCTGTTCGAACACGGTCGTTACGTTTCCATCGGCTGTTAAAAACCTGTTTCTGCTGCTGAGTCATTCGATGACAGACGATTGAATCAGATAAAAACCAGATGTCCGTTGGTTTTTCTGGTTTTTTTAAGTGATTAGACTTCAGAGGTCAAAGTTCATCAGAGTAACTTCCGACCCTCACAGACTGGATCAGTGTGTAAAGAGTTCAGTTCTGCTGCTTCACTTCAGGAGCTTTATCTTCCGTCTTCACTCGTCTGATGAACGACTGAATGTCGTATAAAATATTAACGTCTCCAGAAACGTGAAACACATCAGCTCATTGTTTACATCAATGTTTTTTCGTTGGCAGGTTTTTGTTCATCTTGCTCGGACCCAAAGGCAAAGCAAAGTCGTACCATGAGATCGGCAGAGCGATCGCCACGCTGATGTCAGATGAGGTCGGTCTGACGTCGATGTTCATGATCTTCAATTAGGAGGTTTAGCACATGAATCAGGAGCAGAAGCCTCCTTCAGGGGTTCAGCCTCGTGTCTTTGTGTCCAGGTCTTTCACGACATTGCGTACAAGGCTAAGGACAGACAGGACCTGCTGGCCGGTATCGACGAGTTCCTGGACGAAGTGATCGTGCTTCCTCCCGGGGAGTGGGACCCGACCATCAGGATAGAGCCGCCAAAGTCCCTCCCCTCCTCGGACAAAAGGTCTGTATACGTGACGGTGCGCAAAACATCCTCACGTACACTTTTCCTGAAGGGTCACGAGAGGAGAGGAGCGACTCCCCGCTGAGAGTGAAAGTCCGAGTTCAGTCTGGACAGATCGTCGACCGCTCGTTCCTACAGTCTCCGATTAACTCCCGATCAACACGACGGTTTGAACTCGCTCTGAAGAACTCTGTGTTTCGTATTTTTAGGAAAAACATGTACGCAGGAGGAGACTCTCAGATGAACGGAGACATGCCTCACGACGGAGGTCACGGAGGAGGGGGACACGCCGTGGGGGAGGAGCTGCAGAAAACTGGAAGGTATGAAATCATGAACAAAACTTTATATTTTTCCACCTGTTTTATTTTTTTTAATTGTTATTTTCTTTTCTTTCAGTTTCTTGATTTTGTTTTTATTCCGCTCCTTCAATTATTTTAGCCATTTCATGATATCGATTTATTATTGTGGAAAATCTCCTGCTGTTCGTCTGCTCTCAGGTTTTGCGGAGGTCTCTTACTGGACATCAAAAGAAAAGCGCCTTTCTTCGTCAGTGACTTCACCGACGCATTTCACATTCAGGCCCTGTCGGCCATTTTGTTTATTTACCTGGGAACTGTGACCAACGCCATCACCTTCGGGGGTCTGCTGGGGGACGCCACGGACAACATGCAGGTCAGTTTCACCGCCATCAGTTTGTGGAGTGCTGTCGATTCGCTCTCTGAATAATTCTGTGTGTGTGTGTCCCGCGGTGCGTTCAGGGCGTGTTGGAGAGTTTTCTGGGGACGGCGATCTCTGGTGGCGTCTTCTGTCTGCTCGCCGGTCAGCCGCTCACCATCCTCAGCAGCACGGGGCCTGTTCTGGTGTTTGAACGGCTGCTCTTCAACTTCAGCAGGTTAGAAATAACTTTATTACTTAAAAAATAACATTTTACAAAACATCAAGTCGAAACTTTCTTGTTTCTTTCACATATTTATATAATATAAATTTTTCAGTAAGTGAATGTTGTGACAAGTTATATTATAACTTTGTCTCATTATAATTTTGGGGTCAACACATCTCGTCTTGGTTTCCCTGATGCAGAGATAATGACTTTGACTACCTGGAGTTCCGGCTGTGGATCGGTCTGTGGTCGGCGTTCTTCTGCCTGGTGCTCGTGGCGACCGACGCCAGCTTCCTGGTTCAGTACTTCACCCGGTTCACGGAGGAGGGCTTCTCCTGCCTCATCAGCTTCATCTTCATCTACGACGCCTTCAAGAAGATGCTCAAGCTCTCTCACCACTACCCCATCAACGCTGACTTCAGGTCGGAGTACGTCACGCAGTACGACTGCCTCTGCATGGCCCCCGCTGTTCTGGGTGAGAGCCTGTGAAACTTCGAATGACACTTTAAAGAAAAACTTGCTGTGAATACACGTGTGTTTAAAAAGTGTGTGAGTGTTTGCCGGTGTTTTGCAGTGAACAGTTCAGACGCCATCGATGATCCTTTAGACCAGAACTGGAACAACACGGATCTGGTGAGTGATTCAACTTCTACTGCTGCAGAACCTGGGATGTGGCTGAAGCGCGCGTGGCCGAGTGTAACTGAAGCGTTTCTCGGACATAGACCAGTTATCTCACTGCGATCCCACGCTAAAGTTCTGCAAAGTTAAAAGAAGCTCATGTGACATCAACAGAACCAGGTAGAGTGAGAGCGGAGGCCGACATTTCCTACACGTTACCAGGAGGCAGGTCCTAAAGAGACAGGAGCTAGAACTCAGTGTTTGAGACAGAGGCTGAAAAGAGGAGCTGCAGCGACGGACATTCTGAGGATGAAAACATTTTCCAGTCATTACACTAATTAAATCATCAATCTGAGGATGAGCAGCAGTTAAATGGTTTTCATTTCATGACACTGTGCTGCAGCTCGGACACTGCGCTCTGCAGCGTCCTGTAAATGTTTCTCCAGACTGAAGGACTTTGGTCCCAGTGCTCCTGGAGTTCTGTAAGTGTGACCACGCGTCTTTTAAACGGGTCACAGATCTCACAGCGACCCCGAGCGGTGAGATAAAGCTCTGAACCAGCAGCACTGTTGTGTTCACAGTCTGATAAGATAAGCAGACAGTTTTTAACTCAGCTGCTACGAGAGTTGTTGAACGTACAGAGCTTCGCCTGAAAGCCTCGTATAGTTTCTGTCGCAGCTTCTGTTGGACCCTCGTTATCATGAATCAACATTTCTTTTGTCTCCTCCGAGCAGCCTATGAACGCCACGTGGTCGTCCCTCACAAAGACGGAGTGCTTGAAGTACGGCGGGGAGCTGGTGGGGAAATCTTGCGAGTTCGTCCCCGACATCGCCCTCATGTCCTTCATCCTGTTCTTTGGCACCTACACCTGCTCCATGTGTCTGAAGAAGTTCAAGACCAGCCCCTTCTTCCCCACCACCGTGAGTCCCACGCTGGGATCATTTAACCCAGCAAGTCACCTGTAAAGAAAATAAATGAGGTTTCCCTCCGGCTTCTTAAAATAGCAGAGGAGAAAAGCTGAAGTCCGTCTGTTTGCTTCCACCCAGGTGAGGAAGCTCATCAGTGACTTTGCCATCATTCTGGCCATCCTCATCTTCTGCGGGGTCGACGCACTCGTCGGAGTCGATACTCCGAAACTCATCGTGCCAACTGAATTCAAGGTGAGTCCCTGTGGTGCATTACGTTTTGATTCATGGCTCCAGAAACAATAAGACTCCACTAAAGTCATGTCAGACTACGACGGCTCAGAGCAGGGAGCCGGTTTATTGTTCCACACCAGAGTGTTAAAAAAAAAAGCACAGATATTCTTGAATAACTTTTTTTCTGAAGCTCATAGAGACTTGGAAGTTGGTTCCCTCTGAACTAATGTGGGTATGCCCGATCCACTGGTACCACCCCCGAGCTTCTACGACCTTTGGTTAGGGTTGTGATTAGGGTTAGGGATGAAAACACATTGGAGATGAAGATATTCTTGAATAACTTTTTCTTTGAAGGTCATAGAGACTTGGAAGTTGGTTCCCTCTGAACGATTGAAGATGCATGTAAATGGTTGATTCTCTACTAAATCCACTTCATCTCAGCTACATGCTGGCGTTAGTTTCAAGTTAGTTATTTCACAGCATCTGAAAAACCCTATGTCCCAGTTCAGCCACATTTAAATCCGGATCTAGACATCAGCTCCTTGAATATGTCCGACTCTCCTCGTTTAGACGTGAGAGAAAATGTCCAAAGAGACTTTTCTCACAATCTTGATCCTGTAGGTCGACACTTTGAAAAAGAATCATCTTCTGCGATGATTGACATGAATGTTTTTAATGTCATGTAAACCAATGTAATGAAATATAAAGTTATTGATTATTACATTCACATCATATTTCTGAAAAAGAAAACGATCTGTCTGTTTCACCCACGTGTTGAAGGATCTGTTTTCCTCTGTCACAGCCCACGAGTCCCAACCGGGGCTGGTTTGTTCCCCCGTTCGGAGGAAACCCCTGGTGGGTTTACCTGGCCTCGGCTCTCCCCGCCCTGCTGGTCACCATCCTGATCTTCATGGACCAACAGATTACTGCAGTGATCGTCAACAGGAAGGAGCACAAGCTGAACGTAAAGAAAACTGAACTGAGAGGATTCAAACGGCTGTTTTAATATGTACAGAGGCTGGGGGGGGGGGGGGGGGGGGGGGACTCTTATTCTGAAAACAGAAACTGTTCGAAGACGTAGACTCACAACCTCTTGGTAATTATGTCGTCTCGATGTAGCCTTCGCTGATTCGTCAGGCTCCGGTCAGGAGAAAACCAGCTTCCAGAGAAGAACACAACATGGAGAATCAATTACGAGTGTCACTGACGATGTATTTTACTGTGATACAGCTGTTTACATGGAGGAGACCAGATGTTATCAGAGCAATCTCACACACATGACCAGTGTTTGAGTTTTTAAACTAGAATGGAGTAATGTGGATGTAGCCCAAGAATCTGCAGCAAGTAAACTGAGGTTTAGTTATTTAAATTTAAGTTAAATTCAACAATAGTCTTTTTTTTTTATTGAAGTTGAAGAGTGAGGCTCTTCTGTGTGTCTCCGAGGAAACGAGGGTCGTCATGTGTTTCTCAGTCTGTTCAGGACACGTCTACTTTCACACTCGAGTTAAATACAGGCTTCTCACCGGAGTGACAGATGTTTCACGGGAGTGACTGAACACAACTCAGCTCAGAACTTATTCACCTGAAATGTTCAGTCTCTGCCGAAGATGAGCAACGATTGTTTAACTGCAGCGATGGGAACATTATGGATCCTCTCAGAACGAATCAGGACGTCACAGTTCACGATTAATAAGAGCCGGTTTTAAATATATGTTGATCAAGCTATCATCAAATGTAATAAAACAAACAGAAAAAGAAAAGACATCTGCTCCTGTGGTGTCGTCCAAGTGTCTGGAAACCCCGACTTTAAAAGTTCAATTTGAAACAACGTCATTTACAAGTTGTTTTTTTGTTTGTGTCCTGTTCCAGAAAGGGGCCGGCTATCACCTGGATCTGTTCTTGGTGGGGGTCCTGATGGTGATTTGCTCCTTCATGGGTCTGCCGTGGTACGTGGCCGCCACCGTCATCTCCATCGCTCACATCGACAGTCTGAAGATGGAGACGGAGACGTCGGCCCCTGGAGAGCAGCCCAAGTTCCTGGGTGTGAGGTGAGGCTGGAGAAATTCAGCAGAAAGCCCAGAACCTCTCGCTCCGATATTTGTGTTCACACATACAGTCGGAGAAGGTCGGGAGGTTCACAGAGTTCACACACACACACACACACACACACACACACACACACACAACAGTGTGGTTGGGGTTCAGTATCTTGCCCAAGGACACCTGGGCACACAGACTGGGATCAAACCGCCGACCTCGTGGTTAGCAGACAACCCGCTCTTCTCCCCGAGTCACAGCCACCCAAATAAGTGATGTTACTTTCACATGTGATTCTCAACCCTGGTGTGTCACGTGCACGTGTTTGTTAACGTGTCGTGTTAAGTTCAGAGGGCGGTGGATGAAGTATCACGTCTATCTAATAATAACACGTACTCTACATACTACGCAGTATTCTGTGTACATGCATGTGTCGGGTTTTGTTTTTCCTCCCGAGCCTCCCGAGGCGTCAGCTGAACCAACAAACTCACGTCCTGTAAAACCAAACAGGGAAGAACTCCGGGGGAATCTTCTCCAGAAGTTTGGGACAAAACTTTTTTTTTTGGTCAAATCGGTTTTGTTCTTTTTCCTCCTTTCCTGTGCGCAGAGAGCAGAGGGTCACTGGCGTGTGCGTGTTCATACTGACGGGCCTGTCCGTGTTCATGTCTCCGATTTTAAAGGTACGTCCTCACAGACTATCTGCTGATCTTCATGTGATGTCGCTTCCTCTCTTGAGTTCAATCTTTTCAATCTGACAACAACAACAAGACGACGAATGGGACGTCAATCTGAAATCATTTCTCCGTCTTGGTCATGAAAGCAATTATTTCGTTCAGGTCAAGTAACGAGCCTCCTTTAATTGATTGATTGACAAAAGTGAGACCAGGAGACAGATGTGCATCACATCCGTCCTAAATAAACCCCGAGTTAGAATGTGAGCAGTTCCAGTTTGATATTCCTGTGCAGCTCAGCGACAGACACAAAGTCTGTAGAATGTAAATTTAAATTTTTAACTGTAAATCACAGTTTTGTGTTTTTTCATGAAGTTTACATTTGTCTTGTTCACAGTTCATCCCCATGCCTGTGTTATACGGAGTCTTCCTGTACATGGGAGTCGCTTCTCTGAATGGAGTCCAGGTATATATAGTATAGTACCATGTATATTATCATATACAGTATAATGTATAGTATCATGTATACCTGTGTGTGTGTGTGTAGTTCATGGATCGTCTCAAGCTGCTCCTGATGCCAGCGAAGCACCAGCCCGACCTGGTCTACCTGCGACACGTCCCCCTCAGGAAGGTCCACCTCTTCACCTTCATTCAGGTGCTCTGCTTGGCTCTGCTCTGGATCCTCAAGTCCACCGTGGCCGCCATCATCTTCCCCGTCATGGTGAGAGACATCGAGATTTGCACAACGATGAGATTCAATCTGTCACACAAGAGCTGTCAATTTCTAAGATTCCCAAAAATCAAACAACGGAGCAAACCACAACGTTAATAAATCAAAACTCGGGCCTGTTGTTCCTCAGATCCTCGCTCTGGTCGCCGTCAGGAAAGCGATGGACTACATGTTCTCGCAGCACGACCTCAGCTTCCTGGACGACGTCATCCCAGAGAAGGACAAGAAGAAGAAAGAGGACGAGAAGAAGAAGAAACGCAGCAGCATCGACAGCGACGCTGAAGACGTAAGTGAAGCGTTGACACTTTTAAATCTGGAACTCGGAAACAAGCAGATCCTTCATTTTCCCTCAGTTGTGTGAATTAGTTTGAAGCGACCACACGTCCCCGAGTCTGTCCACGTCCCCGACGACCTCTGAGCTCAGCCCAGATCAGTCTGAACTTGAACATCCAGGTGAACACGTCTCTCATCCACAGTTTTTATCTCTCGGTCAAGATAAAACGGATCAAAGCTTCGACATGCGTCCGAATCAAAGAATCTCTGTTGAATTAAAGTGACGCCAGACGAAAGCTGACGTATTTATATTTAGAGATAAAGACATTTAGGATTCCTCACGTTACTTTAGCCTCAGCTCTTTTGTCCTTTTGTCGGGATCCTGTAAATCAGGATTCAGGTTTTAATCTCCTCTCCTGAATGAAACCTGCTCCGGAGCAGGGGAGCGTTGGTTACCATGGTGATTTCACCTCGTTAAGAAGTGAACCAGCCTCGTTCGGGCTGAAGACTTAAACCTGAAGTTACCCGGATGACTGTACATCCGGCCTCGGAGTTAAACTGTCTCTTGTGTTTTTCTGGATGAGTGAAGCTCCTGAGGGTTGAGTTGTGATTAAACTAAATTCAGGAGATTCTCACAGGTTCGTCATTTATTTATGTTTTCCTGAAACCTCCTCCACGTTATTGTCTAACTTACTTTAGAGTTTTAAAATACCCAGAGTTGAGAAGCAGTTTGTACTTCGCAGTGAACGTTTCGTTTATACAAAGGCTCCGTGAATGACTGTTGATACAGCTTTAGTTGTAGTAAAGTGTGTGTGTGTGTGTGTGTGTGTGTGT